TCCTCCCACCCCTCCCCTTTCTCTCTTTATCATGGTTAAGGACCATCTCTTCCTTGGAAAGGAGAGCTGAGCCTGTGCATGTAAGCAACGATCCTTTCTATATCTAAAAGAGTTTGAATAGATTGTAGCCAAAGGCACAAACCTCACATTTATGGGTGTGTGTCCACATTTGTGCACCTGCATGTTCTGCTCTCTGGTTCTAGAGAAAGCCCTCCATGATGGGGCTGAGGTTGGATGCAGTAGGCTCTTTCTCCTCCCTTCTGAAAAGACTCTCTTCTACTTGCCCAAAGGAAAGCTAAAACGTGCAGGGGCTAGTGTCACACGGATGGAAGAACAGCCACGTTCCCTTTCTGCTGTGCCAGCTCAATCTCTCAACACTTGTCAGGAGAGAAGATTGACAGCAAAGCAGATGTGGCAAAGCAAATAGAAAGTCGAGGAGAAGTTAACTAATGGAGTCACCCGCTCCAGAGAATGTGGTGGTAGCAGCTGAGTGCTCTTACATAAAGATAGACCTCACTTGGTTGTTTCTTTAAAATATCTTTACTCGGACTTCCTCCAAGGAAATGTAAGGGGTATAATGAGGTTCTTCCCGCTCCAATTTATCTGCAGCATCAAGTCCAGTCTCTTTCAAGTAGAGCTGAACTGCTAGTCAGTGTTGGTAGAGGGGAAAGATCTGGCCTTAGGCGGCTGCTTTGTGGGGTGTCACAGGGCTCGATTCTCTCCCCACTCCTATTTAATGATCTGCATGAAACCACTGGATGAAGTTAGCTGTTGGCACGGGGTAAAGTATCATTAGTATGTTGATGATACTCAGTTGTACATCTCTGTCTTGGGCCATCCAAGTGATGTTGTTGAGGTATTTCCCCAGTGCCTGGAGGCTGGATAGGCCTGCATGGGGAAGAACCAACATGGGCTCAACCCTGACAAGACTGAATGGCTGTGCATTTTAGGTCTCCCAGATCTAGTGATTTCCCAGAATTAACTCCAAACAGGGTTACATTCACTGGATAGAGTTGATGTGCAATCCTGGGGTTCTCCTGGACTCACAGCTCCTGTTCAAGGAGCAAGGAGCAGTGGTGGCCCAGAGATCTTTCACACAAATATATCTCGTGTGCCAGTTGCACCTATTCCTAGCTCAGGAGGCCCTGCTCATGGTTGCTCGTGCCTTAGTCCCCTCTCAGTTGGACCGCTGCAATGCAGTCTAAATGGGGCTATCCTTGAAGAGCATCCAGAGGCTGCAGCTGGCCCAGAATGCAGTGGCAAGCACAGGTTTGGGTGCACCACAGTAACACCACTGCCACAGGAGCTGCTCTAGCTTCCTGTAGGCTTCTGGTGCAATTCAAGGTGTTGGCTGCCACTTTTAAAGCCCTACATGGTTATTTGTGGGACCACCTCCCCCTGGTGATTTCTGCTCACTCCGCCAGATCTGACAGAGCGGGCATGCGCCAGGCACCCTTAGTGAAACAGTGTCACCTGGTGGCTCCAGGAAGCATGCCTTCTCCGTCAGAATGCCTGTCCTATAGAACAGCCTCCCCTTCCCCCAAAGATCTGGACAGCCCCAACTCTACAGGCCTTTTGGAAGGCTGTGTAGACCCGGTGTTCCCCCTGCATGGGGTGTATGCAGTTGGTGATTATGGAGATTGAATTGGGCTTTGACTTGCTTTGTTTTGGTTTGGTTTTAAAGGAAAGTTTTGTTTTTGCCAGGTTTTGTTTGTTCACCACCCAGAACTTTCTGGGATAGACTGGCGGCCATATACATTGGATAAACACATAAATAGAGAAGTCATACATTCAAGCCATCACACAGATGGTCTCCTGCATTTCCCCCCCCCCCTTACCAGTTCACATTCAGTTGCTTGAAAGAGAATTTGCTTCACCATTTCCTCCCAAGGAACAAGCGGAGTATGTTTCTTCCATTTATTTTGTGGCTTCTGGCCAAGAGGGACGTGTAAATGTTTTGTATTTTGATCTGCAGCTTCTTTGGCCTCCTCCCATTCACTCATAAGGGAAGACCTCAGCAGGAACTCCTCCCAGCAGACTTGATGCTACCACTCTTGAGAAACCCATGGACAATGTTTCCTTTCCTGGAGAAGTTTGACCAATTGTCCATTCAGTTCCCTCGGCTCCCAGACATGAATTTATCCAGCAGAGAAACATAGGACAGGTTTCGGTGAAACAGCTAAAACTTCCCTGCTTCTTCTCAGGGTATGGCTGGGTAAACTGTAGGCAGGGACATCCATGGGTGGAGGACAAAAAAGTCAAGATGGCAGCCATCTTGCTCGTAGCTCCCATCTTGACTTTTTTGATCCCCCTGTGGATGGCCCTGGCTGTAGGCCAACAGCAGCTGCTGGCATCCTCAGCTCCTTTTTTGTGGCTTTGTCAAGTGATGGAAAGCAATAGACACTTATGGGGCTGTTCCTGTTTCCCAGCTGGATGAAAAAACACGGTTGGTGTCTTCCTTGGTTCATGGGCTTTGGAGTTCAGCCCCCATGGCTCAACCAGGAGGATACCAGACCCTTCCTGAACTGACAACTGCACTTCTTATGGTGTCAGGAAAGAAGGCAGCCCATAGACGTCCTCCATCAAGGAGAGAATATAGCATCAATTGTCACCGTGACCATCCTTTCTGAGGTTAATGTATTCTTCTCTGCTGGAGGAAAAGAACAAGGTGGTGGGTTGCAATGGGACTTAAGGGTGTCAGCAGAAGGGAGGTGGAGTGTCTTCTTCAAATACACTTGCATCAATTCGAGCAGGGCTCCTTGCATGCTCGGCCAGCTCTACAATTAAGTTCCGCTGGATATAGTGGGGTTTAGTGCTGAGTAAACCATCATAGATTGTGCTAACTTCTGTTTTGGGAATACTGACAGGCAGCAATTCTAGGCAACAGAGATGCTGTAGGTGCCACAGAGATCTGCCTTAGCTGAACTCGCAAGCTGCAGAGACCTATAGCCCTATCCTTCCTCAGAAATGTTCTGAGCTGAAAACAAACAGAAACCCTTTTCTGCAAGATGCCTTCCAGCTCACTTGGTGCCAAAATCTACCTTATCATTTCTTGGTTTCCTTCCCCTGCAAAAAAAAATAAAAAGGTTTCTGTTTACTTTCAGGCTTCTTGATAATAGATTGTACATTTCACTAGATGGGTCTTTGGGATACATCAGTGGGTAGTGAAAGGCCTAGCGGCTGGCTGAGTACCTTTTCTGTTAGGCATCCTTCCTTTGCTCTTCCACCTCGTGGTTCATTGGTACTTCCTACTCTGTGAAAAGTTCCCTGGAACACAATTCTATTGGTTCCTCTTCTTCTGGGATTGAACAAAAGCAAGGAAGCCAAGGAAGGTCCAGATTGTGCAATGAGAAGGACATTAGTGCACAATTATGGCCACTTGGAAATGCAACACGTGTCAGACGACCACATCCCACCAGAAGAATGTCCCTGAGATTGTCTTCTCCTTTGAAAGATTTTGGAAAGCAATTTCTCTTTCATCAAGTGGAATGAAATCTGATACAAAAAAATAAAATAAAAATGCAGACAAATTCTTCTGCCCTGGTAGAAATTTTAGTTGAGCAGGTTTCTCAGAATTCAACGGCCACCTCATCAAAATTATTTGGAACTTCTTTTGAAACTTGTTGGTGCTTGAGGTCAAAAGCACATTTCCAAGCTCCCCTCTAAGTGTAGTTATGGGGAAAGATCCTACATTTAAAAAAAAAATACAAGTTCTTTTACCCAGACAGTTGAAGTTTGCCATCTCATGCCTGACTCCCCAAAACATATCTCCTGCTGCAAAAAGGTCTCCAGCATGTGCCATCAAGTTGGCATCAACTCTTAGTGACCACATAGATCAGTGTTTCTCAACCTCGGCAACTTTAAGATGTGCGGACTTCAACTCCCAGAATTACCCAGCCAGCATGCTGGGAATTGAAGTCCACACATCTTAAAGCTGCAGAGGTTGAGAAACCCTGACATCGATTTTCTCCAGGATGAATGAAAGATCTCTACATTTAAAAAAAGGGCACAAGTTCTTCCATTTATATACAGGCACAATTTCTTAACTGTTGTGACTCCTCATCAACCCAAAGAAGATGACGACAGTAGCAGACAATCCATTGAGTGATTTTTTTTTTCGTTTTATTTCCAACAAATACAGCACCCGCCTGGCCTGGGATATATAGGAAGAGGGGTTGAGGATGAATGGAGGACTTGGGTAGGGAGAAACAGGTGGGAAGACAGCCACGTGTGGGGTGGATTGAGAAAGTGGCAGTGTTTTCTTCCCTGCTTCTATCCTCCAAGTGAGATTTGAAATTGGGGAAGAAAGGAAACGCCTGGTGGCAACTTCTATCCCAGAATGCTGTTAGGGCACACAGTGCATGGCATATGAAATACCCAGATTTTAAAAAACAAAACAAAAGCAAAACAGAAAGAAAGAAAGAGAGTCAAAGTACGTTCCCTGGTCCCTGAAAAGGGCAGGATCTCCTGCCCTCCCTTGTCCTGTGCAAGGGACAGATGGAGAACCATGAGATGGTCGGGAGTGCAGTTCTGTGTCCCAGCAGTGAACCACAGGGGGGAGATGGGAGGAGTGGGGGGCAGGAGACCTACTGATGCTGAAAGGGATACATCCCCATAGGATCTGCACGTGGGGCAGAGAAAGGTGTGTGGGAAGGTGAGCGCGGCTGTGCCTGCTTGGCAACTGGGGAAGGGGCACAGCGTCCGTGGTGCTCCTGGCCTTCCTCCTTGAGGTGTGTTTAAAGAGAGGGCCGAGTTTAAAAAAAAGTCTCCCCGGAAAAATGCCAGAAGGGGAAGAAACTCTTGTCTGTCCTGATTTGCTTGATTTTTCCAAAGTGTCAGTGTGAAAAATATATATATATATAT